ATGAAAAGTGCAGCATTACATATGGGCGGAGTCAGCCCAACACCAACGGGTACACCAACGGAAAGCAGGCCATAGTGCTCCTCCCACTGGTGCACCGCGCCACCCATGTTGCTTTTGTACTTTCGGGCCGACGTTGGGAGATCACGCTAGGTAGGGAATGAGTCCGTGGCTTCCCAGAAGAATGGAGCTTCTTTCCCTCACCATTCGGAAGGGGTTCACCTGAAATTTTGATGACGTAAAGTCAACAGAAGCAAGAATTTCCACAGCTCACTTTCAACGTTCTGGAAACAATTATCATGGCGCTACCAGCAAGTTTGAACTCTTAACTCCATTTCTGAAGTAAACCTAACGGGAAAAGGATGTTAAGTCGCTCTAAAGTACAAATTTCGACAGCTGACCAGTTTTTAAGGCTAATTTTATCTTGCTTCTACATATTCTAATATTCAGGCGTGATTCACTGCTTGTTCTTCCCAGCTTGATTTCAAAGGTGTTCTTTTTTCAGAACACTGGTGAAACGGTACGAATCGTGGCACTCGATAACAACTACCACGTGGATTGCTATTCGTGCGAGGTGAGGAGATTACCTACTTCTGCATTCAAGAACATGTAGGGGGCGAGTCTATCCCATATTCCTGAGGGCGGAGTCGGGCCTGCCTTCGCAGAGTCCTCCTCACTTAAGCCACTAAGGGCGTGTCGGCGAAGTGTGCGTTTGAGGGCAGGACCAATTCTTTTCTCACGACTCATTGAATGCTCGAAGTCCATGGAAGGCGGGCTGGCGTTACGCCAGAACCCAGGTCTCCTTGGTGCGCCTCGGCTGATTCCTATGATAAAGACTGCATGTTCCTGGTCCTCTTGGAACCTTGAAACGACTGCACACCAATAAGGAAAGTACAATTGTCGACGGTTCCCGCTAATACGACTAGCGTGAAATGTTCCTTTAAAGAGTCAAACGGTTCGACCAGCTCCTGGCATGAAGCCACCCTCATGAACCACAATTCCTTAGCTCAGTCCATTTGTCTATAATACTCTGTCCTTAA